ACAAATGGCTGTCCTTCTAGGAAAGTGCTTCATAAAAACTGGTCATCTGTGAGCCCATGTAGAGATGACCAAAACTCTGGAGAAAAAAATGAACCTTCAAACATATATATTAGAAAATGGCATTATCCTGAAAGAGGGTCAGATGTCACTGGTTTGTTATCTATAACAGAAAAGGAGCTGATCCAAAAATTTTATAGTGCTCCAAAAAGTCTCACTTTTCTGATATTAATATTCATGTTTACTGATGTAGCATAAATTTGCCTTCTCTTTCAGTCCAGAATTTAAATGTTGATTTTACTGAACTATACATAATTTTTAAGCTATCCATGTGCTAACACATCTATTATAAGGAAATAAAAGCACAGGCTGTGACTTAGCACTGGGAGCTGTAGCCTTCTCTTTGAAAACAATATGACACTGGCTATAGCCATCTCCCTGAATGACTGGGAGTTATTCCATACTAATTTTGACAAAATGCTTTCAATGAAATCTGGGACCATACTTGCAATTCCACTGACTGCTGCTCTCCAAAGTCTCCATCAGGAGCTGCGTGTGCTGGGCATGGAGGTACCACAGTGAGCTCATGCCCACTCAGGATGGCTTTGCAGGTGGAACTGAAATTTATTTCTGAATTCAACCTTACCTGCAACTCAAGTCAAAGCATTTGATAAAATCTGCTTCTTCAGTGTCCAATCTTCACACTCCTAATGTGAGCCTCTAAGCAACACAGTACTGACAGATTGGCTCTTAGCAGAGCCTCTGAAATACATTTCTCCTCACTCAATTTGTGCAGCAAAATGGAATCCTGCTTTTGAATGGGACATCGTATTTACAGTGTATTAAGAATATTCTTAGAGAAGTTTCTACACACCAAAGGCACCAGTGAAAGAAAATATAAAGGAAAGAGGAACTTGGGTAATAATGAGCAAGAGAGCTTTGAAGGGAAATAGTTATCCCTGTCTTTTTAACTGTATTCTTACTAAGTACCATACAAATGTAGAGACCAAAGGCCACAGCTTAATATTCTAATCATATGAAAACCACTGAAATAATCCATAAAATAGGAAGGTATTGATAGTGAATCTTGTAACAAAACTATTTCCTCTGTTTGTAAGGTTTCTTTGTCACATACTAAAAATTGCTTGTTTTACTCACCTTCTGTACAGAAAGTTGTTTTTATAGACAGATTTCTCAAGTAAGTTCTTTTCCAAGTTCATCTGTTTCTGGTTGTAACAAAAACATTCTAGCAGCAATGATACTCTATAGACTCCATCACAGCGTTTGGGAAATGGGAGGAGATCATCTTGTATTCAGTCTTATGGAGCAGGGGTTCTTAAAATGGGAAAATTAAAGCTTATTCCTTCTTTGCATAGGACAGCTTCAGGGGAACTTGAAGTCATGGCCAGGCTGCAATTGCTTTTACTTGCTTAACATCAGGTCAGTTGAGTGGCTTGGGACAATATTTACAACTGATTTCAACCCAAGTTTATTTAATTATGTGTAAAGTCATGAAAAGCAAAAAATCTTGAGCTGTGTCTGTAAAAAACTTATCTACTGACAGTACTGAAGAAGTGCAAAGCTTGATTTTCAGTCTTATTTTTTATTCACATGAATCCAGAAGATACTTAAAACAAAGAAGATCCTTATAAACAAAGCCTACTGGATACTGAAGTCTCTCAAACTTTATTAAATATACAGAATTTCTAAAAGTTAAATAGCAGAATAGAATCAACATTTTGATTAGAATGAAACTGTTTCAGTCCTTCCATAGCCAAAAGTAATAATCATCTGAGAGCATCAGATAACATAACCTTTTCACAGCAAAGGTCTGTACTGTCTGAGGGCTGGCTGAGGTTGGGATGCTTCCAAAGGCAAACTGTTTACTCAGAGGCAGATTTGATCATGGCTCATGTTTTTCCACAGGGCAGCTAGCTTGCTGAAGGCCTTTAAAAACCTTTCCCTAGAGCTCATCCATTGGGCTGTTTGGGCTAAGTATTTAAAGCAGTAGCAAAGTGCCAAGTCAAAAGCAAAGAATTTGTTTCTAAGAGAAGCAAGAAAAAGACAAAGAACAAAAGTTAGCACTGCAGACTATTGCAAGCTTCAGAGAATATAAAACAATTGTTTTAGAGACAGCTAAAAATATCTTGTAAGACTGCTTGCTCTTCTGCCAAAGGCATACAATACACTGAGAAACATTTGCAGAATCAAAATATTTATACTACAAAGTAGCAGTTTCTACTTTAGAAAGTTATAGCTGATTAAGTTGGAACTTCATGTTCTGTAATAAGGACAAAAGAATATCAAGCACGGCCGTAAGTAAATATTGGCTTTGTTACAAGCTTATTAAAACAGAAAAAAAAAATCCAGCAATTTTTTTTCTCTAGATCACATTTACCTTGGTGTAACTATCAATACAGTTACAGGATAAAATACAATTTTACTTTCTAACTGTCTTTTTGCTGTGTGACATGAGTGTACTAGAATGCACCCTGAAAAAAAGAACAGAAGGACTGTTCTCTCAGGAAGCTTTATAAATGATTGTTCTATATACTCCAAAATCTTGTCTCAACTTAAAATTCCATATAACTCTTCATCTGTACTTATACAAATGAAGCAGGAAAGGGAAAGCAGAAACTTAAAGGTTTATAGAGATCAAACTTCAGAGAAACTTTATTGGAAAGTGTCAAGTTCAGTTCCTTTGTTAATTATAAGCATCAGAAAATCTTGCCTTTTTATGGGGAAAAAAACCAAAGACAAGTTATTTAAATCATGATCAGAGTGAAAATTTACTTTTGAAAATCCAAGTTTTCTAGCCATATTTAGCAAATGTCAAAACAGTATTTACAGCAACATCAACAGTGCAGCTCTGAGGCTGCCAATATTGCCTCCAACTGTGTAAACCACTTTTTTCTTCCCTCTTTTTTGAAATCTTTTCTTCCCTTTCCCCTTCCAAAGACACAAAACTTAGTAGGAATTTAACATGTTATGGTATTTGTATCACTGGAGAAACAACTTGTTCAGCAATCATTAATTGCCAGCTCCTGCATTTATTTTTAACTGCTCTCTTTTGTTGTAACCCAAGAAAAAAACCCAAAACATGATACAAGTGGGTGCCAGCCAAACTTTTGTGCCAAAAATAAACCTGCCTCTAAGTAAGACCCAAAACTGAGACTATTGTAGGCTTTCAGAAAAGACTAATCATCAACAAAACAGTTTGCACAATTTGCTGAACTACAGTAAGCAATTTCCAGTAAGAGAACAGTAAAGGAGCAGAAGTGGAAAAAGAGCAAAGTGCTGAAAGCATTTATATTGTCTGTTACTTGATTCATTACTTGCAACTTCACTACTTCCCCCTGAATGTCTTCCTTTGCATGCTGATGAAAAGGCAGAACAGAGTAAAACAGACTTTTGGTGCTACAAACTGCTTCTATCAACTGGTGAGGCTCCACTCTGCAGATGTGCTTCCCCTTCCCTTGAAGAAAGGGAAGTGAGGTACAGTGAGTATTAAGGAATAAGAGATCAAGTCATGTGAATCAATCTTTAGTTCATCTGCAACAGTAACTGCCTCCATCCTTCTCTTCACGTTGGCATCATCAAAAAATATCTGTGCTTGCCATCCTCCTGTCTGTCTCTTACCCATCCATCCAATTTGTCCCTCGAGTCACTACCTAAATATTCATATATTTAATATATATATATATAAAGGGGGAACCTGCACATAATTTCTGACAAAATTATGTTTCAACTTTCAGCCTACCTGTGTACTTTAAGTACAGCAGCATGGGACTTCTGTGCCATTCTCTACAACCATGAACACACCAGAATACTGCCCTCAGCTGATCCTGCAGCATGGTGTAATACACTACAATCATCTGACTTCTCAGGTTTTATCACAGCACAGGACAAATGGATAGAAGAGCCAATGCCTATGAAATTGCATGGAAATTAAGTGTCAGGATCATGACACATAGAAACACAACAGGGACAATTGGTGCTCACCTCAGGACTGGTCAGAAACTGGCTTCATCTCAAGATGGAGTACACTGAAGAGCAAACACAAGAGGACATCCTGCAGTTTCTGCTACTGCAGGCATTAGCTACTGAAGTGCACTTTCTTGTAAGTCTTCAAAAAGTCTTAACTTGGCTCTTTATAGTGCCATAACTTTAAAATGTCTACTGTGTACTTACATGCCATCGAGCCTGTAAGCTGGTAACTTTGTCTTGGCACATCTGGAGCTTTAAAGAAGTATAAATGACATTAATACACAAAGTGAGCCCTAAGTATTGTCAGACTTGAAATTCAGAACATGTTCAATGTGAATGGATGTTATTAGAAGGTGTAAACACTTCTATTAAAATGAGCTAATAGCATCAGAATTAATCACTACAGCAAAATGTTTTATCACCTAGGAAGAGAGATAAACAGCAAGTTTCCACATTCATGCTGTTTACTTACAAGGCTTTCAAGGAGCTGATTATTTCTTCTTGGTACAGGTAAATCAATACCAAACAGGTAAATCAATACCAAAGCCATCACTGCCTCCTACCTTGGTGAAACACTACACACGCTACAGTTCTGCCCGGAGCTCCTCACAACTGAAAAGAGCTGCAACCAAAAACTGAAAACTTAAACTCAAAAATTTCTCTTTTAAGCCTCCTGGGAATTCACATGAATTTCCCAGAAACCCAAAGATAATCCTACTATACTCATGTAAAATCAAGACACTGATTGGCAAAGATGGATTTATAGTAGCATGCACTGTAACTACCAACTGGCTAATGCTAATGTGGAACAGGAAAGCAGACAGAGAAGTGATCCATGTGCTCCTGTAATTACATTCCACAGTTCTTTTGTGCCTTGTTTTCCAGTAAAAAAGCCAGGAAGATATTGCTTCTATCACTACTTTAAAAGATCCTGCCTTTCAAACTGCTGGTGCACATATTCACACAAACACCATCTGACCTAGCAGAGCAGACTGTGTAGTAAAGAAAAAGAGATACACATTTTCAAAACAGGGTTTTATTGAAACTTATCAAAAACATCTGAAATGTAATGCAGGGAAGACACTTCAGATCTTAGTCCTTTTCTTTTTTGCTTTGGGTTCTTCTGACAGCTGAGATAATTCACTTTCTTCAACTTCATCACAATGCTTTCTTTTCTTTTTCTTTGACTTTTTATGGTCACTTTGGTAACCACTGGAGTCACTGGTAGGCAATACAAGTTCCTGTTCTCCTTGTTTGTCCTTGTCCTTATCTTTTTTCTTTTTCTTCTTCTTCTTTTTGTCATCACATAATCCATTCACAGCATCAGCACCTGGCTCTCCATTTTCCCTCTCAAGGTTACCCATCTCATTTAAAGGCTCTTCAGTGACATTATCTTCTCCACAGTTATTCAGGCCATTTTCCTGGTGTTCAAGATTTTGAATTTCATCCCCATTTGTATTTTCAGGGACTGCAGCAGATTTTTTGGGCCGCATGCTGTAAACAAATATGCAACATAAACTGGATTAGACACATGTCAGGGCACCTCACACAGTGAAATGTCAAAATTTGCTAAAACACCAAGCAGACAGAAGATAAACATTTATTAAAAACAACAAGTGGAGAACATGATACTCTGTGTTACAGATAATTAGAGTTTAATACTCTCAGGGTAATTTCTATTACCTTACTAGCTTCCTTCTTACCACATAATAAATATTCTCTTTTGAATCTTAGCCTAAATTTCTTCTCTAAAGTGCCATACAGACCATTTGGTAATTCCTTTTTTCTAGTGCTCATTCATCCCCTAATTCATAACTACACATTGTGCAGTAATGATTTTTTGGGTTTTTTTAAGTCATTCACAAAAACACCCAGCTAGTGGCCTATTCCGTCATATATGAGGCACACTGCTGATTTTACCAAGCAATTACCCTACTCTAATTAAAACAAAAGTGATGCCCAAAAAGTTTTAAAAAACCCAAAAAACTCCACAAAAACCCAACAGATTTTCCCCCTCCAACAGCTACCTTGCAACCAACAGCACTGGAAAAATGTCCAAGACAAATATGGAAAGAATGCAGTTAAAAACCATGGAGGTTTTTATGTCCCCAGAGGCACTGAAGACAAAACTGCTAACTTTCACTGTAAGTCCACTGAAATGATCCAGAGCATCCTTCCAGATCAAAAGAAGAAACAAACAAAAAAATGCTATGAATTTGCCAGTAGGAGTCATATTATACATTTAATCAAAACCACGCTGAAAGAAAAACATTGTTCAGTAAATGACTGCTTTAAAAGAAAAACACAAATGAACTCTTCGGAAGACAAGATTTCTTGCAAGGTGCCCCATAAACTTACAGAGTCCTAAGGAGGAAGTTCACACATTTTCTCATCTTTGAAATTCTCATGTTTTAGCAAGTATTTAAGTCATGTATTTGTCAATATACAATACATATGCATATGTTTGTGTTCAAATGTCAATGTAAACACTGTGTTCAGGACCCCTGGACTGTTTGCACTTGAAAAACCCATGCACAAAGCTACTCTTGAACACCTGGGTGTGCTATTTTGAGCAAATATTATATATGCAATCCACAATTAATAGGTCAACATACTCAGATTTTTAAAGCTCAAGAAACACCTAGCTTTATTTTTTCCAGGGAAAGCTTCCATGGGAGTCTTGAACAGCAGAAAGTTTAGTTAAAGACAACATATATATATATATATATATATGTATATAGTTATAGATACACTTATATAGGGATTTGTGTAGAAATAAGAAAGCTGAAAGACTAAGATGTAATTAAAATCACTTAGCTTGCAAAAAACGTATTAAATCAGTTAAAAATATTCTCTGTTACAGCACCATACCTGCTTTTAGTGAGTCCTCCTCGAATGAAGAACACCCCAGCTGTATCAGAATCCAAGTGCAACACTTGAAATTTCAGTTCATCCCCTATTTTTAACCCCAGCTCTTGCCACTGTACAGGGGACATTTGTTCAGGCTTGGGGATAGATGCATTGAAGCACCCATGTATCAGGCAGCCAATGTGACTAGGGGCTACTTTATTAATTACACCCTAAAAAAGAAAAACAATGTCATGCAAGTCTATAGCAAAAATCAGCCCTTTCAATGCAAACCTTTTAAATATTTAGTTTCCCATATGGAAAATTTGCAGTAAGAGTTTACGTACAAGTTAGGAAGTCAGTTTATCTAGCAATAAGTTAATGCTCCTTCATTAAAATCAAAGTTAGTCCTGTAAACTCTTCATACAATTCCTCTGAAAATACAACTGAATTGCAGGAGAACAAGTCAAAAGGTGGGATTTAGCTACAGGGAATACCTGAATAGAGTAGGTAACTCTTTCCTTACACTTCAGTGATTGACTTTGCTTTGAAGCCATTTTAAGTCTGATTTATTTGCCTAAAATGCTCTTCAAGCTGACACAGCAGTACTCAGCAACTGAAGATAAGGAAGACACATAAAAAGCTTCTAATTACTTTATTCAGTGGATTTCTGACACATCTGCCTATGAATCCATATCCACCTTTGTTTTACCCGTATAATTCATGACAGACACTGAAAAAATTTCAATTTTCTTCCTAGGAAGATGGCACATTCACCCTGAAACACAATTATAAAGACACCACCTGGGCTGCAAGAGGTATGGCACAACCATGAATGTAAGCCAGCTCTCAACATGCTTCACCCACAAGTGCTGAGCAAGGGTTTTGACAAGCTCGAAGCTGTTCTGTGATCCATACAACGCCTTTACTGAAAGGCAGGCTTCAACTGGATGTACTGCTCCTAAACATCTGCGTTCCTAAACGTTCCTGTCACTGTAACAAATGTACCTGGTTGAGAACTATGTATTCTTCAGAATGGAAAACCAGTATGATATATGCAGTTACGATACACTATTAAACGAGCAATCCCTATGATACAATGGTTTAGCTATAGATATTTACATGTAAATTCAACAAACCTAGAGGCAGACACAACAGACAAATTACAGTAAAAAGTACTAGTACAGACTACTTCAATTTGCTATGAACTACCCATAAACGAATAAGCTAACACAAACTATGTCTCCACCTAAGCCCCAGACCACCTGATGTTGAGATAAGCCAAGCTTTGACCACATAATGAAAAAAGCCCATCCCGTGAGACGCCAATGCGTTCGCATACCACCAGCTTCTTCCCTTTCTTGGGGCTGAAGATGATGAAGTCCGCCTCCACGTCCAGGTGGATGAACCCCTGATCATCGTAGATGTCGCCGAGCTCCCCCACCACTTTGATGTTGTCGTACGCCACGGGCACGCCCTGCAGGCTGGAAGGACAAGAGGAGGGGCCCCGTTAGCAGCCGGGCCGAGCCGTTCCCGGCCCCGCCAGCTCCCGCGGTCACCTCTCGGAGTAGCGCAGGAGCTCCGCGTCCAGCTGCGCGCGGATGCCGGAGCGCTTGCGGCCCAGGAAGCGCGGGGGCAGCGCCACGTGCCGCCGGTGAGCCGCCGCCACCAGGCACGAGTGGCGCCGCGCCACCAGCGCGCGGGCCGCGCCGAACGAGGGCGCGCCGGCGGCGGCGGCGGGCGGCGGCAGCGCCGGGGCGGCGCGCAGCTCCCGCGGTACGGCCATGCACGCACGGGCCCGCGGCGCGCTGCGATGGCGTCAGGCCCGGCCCTCCGCCCCGGCGAGCCGGCCGCGGCAGTGACGGAGTTCCGGGGGGGTGTGCTCGCCTTCGGAGGGCGTTTCGTGGCGCGGGACCGTGTCATAGTTTAACTCTTTCCAACCTGTTTTACATGTCGGAATCACGGAGCGTTCTGAGTTGGAAGGAGCGTCGAGTCCGGCTCTTACGGGAGCGGCGCGCAGGGGGATCGAGCTGCGGCGCGCTGGGAGCGCGGCCCCCGGAGCCGCCGGCGGGAGCCCCGGGACCCGCACTGAGCATCTGCTCCTTGGGGCAGGAAACCTGGCACCTGTGAATTTGTTTCCATGAGAAAGTTATCGTATTAAGAATAAGAATAGTTCTTATTCTTAATATTATTATTTATAAAATATATGAAATATTATTTATTTCACGTTATCCTGTTATTTAATCCACTATCTGAATACGCTTCATTTACTGACTGGAAGCACACAGGAGAGTTTCATCGTTGGAAACTTGTGAATTGGCCTTGTGAATTTAAATTGGGCATTTGGTGATCCAGGCAAAAGACACAGTGACGAATAGTGGCGTTCTTCACATACAGCAGTTTTAAGAATATAGAATTTGTTATCTGTTGCTAGACCCTAGATGCAGTTTGTGCATATGGTGAGAAATGTCTAGGTGCATTTAATAGCCGCAGACTGAGGAGAACAAAATAAAGTACAAGTCCTCAATAGGGTTGCTGGTGCGCTCTACACAGCAATTACTTACAAAGTGAACTGCAGTACTAGAACCTTGTCCAGAAACCTTACGGTTTCTGCAGTACTAAATTAGAACTGCAGTACTAAAACCTTGTCCAGTTGGGAATGATGGAATTTGTGGCTGGTTAGTGAAGACATGGTCCAGAAAAGCAATTCAGACTTTATATCCACACAAAGCGGCACAGTATGATTTTACTTTAAACTGACTCAACTCATGCAAAACGTTGAGAAGGTGTTCTCTCATTGATTTAAATCTAATTTATATCAACTTAACTTGTTATAGTAAATGTACAGTTTCAAACTGATTGAATCCATATGGGGAGTTACAAAAGAAAGAAAAAAAGTATGTATTGGTTTCATTTCAGGTGTTGAAATTTCTTTTATACTGTGGAGGACTCGGAAACACTGTTTTGTGAAAACAAGCCTTACGTCAAATACCAGAAATCCTTGAACTCCCTATAAAACACTTAGTGATGCAAAAGCCTTTGAAACTACTCAAATACTACATCACCAGAAAGTTTTCTTTGACTGAACACACTGTGAAGACAGGACATTGTTAGCTTTCACAAGTAAAACAAATGGTATAATTTGCAGTACTTTACTGCAAGTAAAGTTGGATTAATGTGAAATACCTGACATAAAAATGGCTTTCAGATGTCATACCAAACTCCAAAATCGAAAATGTCTTGAACTACTGTAATCTGTATTCCTATGTGGCTTTAGTCCTCCAAGGTATTTAATGTCTGTTGAAATTAATTTCATGTTATATGGTCTCAGTTTTCTGGAAAAAATATTGTATTTTTTATTTCAACTATTTGGATCATATTTAAACCTTGCAATGTGCTTTCAATCTTGGTTAAAGACCTTAAACAATAACTGCATGCACTTCTATTCCTAAAATAAATATATTTTTTATAACTCTTATTTATGAGTGGATTTAGTTTGCAGTGAGAACATATAATACACTAAGGGCTCTACTCAATTTTATCCAGGATAATAAAAACCTACCTTTGCTCTTAAAATGAAAACTAATAATAAGATGGAAAAGCAGTATGAAGAAAAATGTGGACCTTTGTCTTTCACCCTTTAGTCAGGTCCAAGATGGTGTCAGAAGGGCTCTATCTCTCAGGGTCTGCAGCTATCCAAGGTTATCCCCATCAAAACTTCTGTCACTAGAGGATTCCCTACAAGATTGAGTCTGTACTTTTTAATTGAATCTCCATTTATCCCTGCTTCTGTGCCTGGTTTTCATTGCACAGTGCTCTTGGGACTTCCAGATTTCCTTTCAGGCTAAAGCAATCAGGAGAATGAACTTTAAATCCTAGTGGTCAATTAAGTCTGTGTGGTAGGCCAGAGATAATTCAAAATAGCCTGTTTGAAATCCTTTAACTGTAAATACCTGGCCTCAGCTGTTTTTCTCTGCAAGTTCCCACCTGCCAGGTGCTGCAGCTTGCTGATGCAGCGTGGTCTGTCTGTACCAAAAGCGACGTTGTCTTGCAGTCTTGTGGAGACTTCAGACCCATGGCATGCCTTGGACTCACTACCTCCCTGTAAAAGATACTCTGATGAAAGAAGGAATCTCAATCCAAATGCCACCTCCTCCAGCCAGTTCTTAAAACCATCTGGACCATTGGACTTAAATCCTAATATCCCCACATTCATTTCTTGGCTTCTTTCTCTTCCCTGGTTGTATAACTTTTCACTCCTTGATGTAAGCTTTCAGCTTAAAGAGTCTGTCTCGGCTGACCTTTCAGCAGCACTGCAGTGAGCCTGAGTCCAAAAGGCAGCTAAAATCAATGTCTAAACCAGCACAGCTGTTGGTACATTTGCCAAGTCCCACAGTGGCTGATAAGACTGTGCTGAGACTGTTTGTCTCTAGAGGTCAGGTTGAAAATAACAATGGGGACCAAACCCAAAATCTGCCTTTGCAGTCACTGCTGTTCTTTTTCTTCCTGTTTTATCTGGGTTTGTCTTGTTTTCTCTGTGAAAGGATGGCCAGATTCCAAAAAGGAGATTCCTTGACAACCACAACTTCTGCAGCTCTCAGCTGGTCTTTTCTATCCACACAGTCACTGCCATCTTGTATCCAGGTTTCTGAATTAGTAACGTGTGTTGGGTATAAAGTTCAACCAATTGCTTTTTGGTGCTCTGTTGTGGCACGTGCAACTCATTCATTTAGAAAGTGGCCCTCACCCAGCTTTAAAATCCTGGAAGTCTTGCAGAGTGGAAGAATGTTGATGGCAGTGTGCTGGAATAGGAAATACACTCCCCTTTAGGATTGTGTGCCTGAAGGAATTTCTGCATTTTGAAATTTATTCTACCACAGGTTCCTTATCCCACAGCTTGCATTCTATAAAAAGGATAAATGAAGAAATGCCTCAGCTGCATAGGTTAGATATGGTACAAAAATTGTGCTCTGGATTTTTTTTTTCAAATGTTTTAGCTAGCTTCTCCTATTTTGTTTTTAACCCTACAGTATTTTTAGTGAAAGTTCTTGCTGTCATACTTAGAAGAAAGAATGAGTACTCAAACTCTCAGTTTTGTTTTTAAAGTTGTGAGGTAATAGGTTTGCTTCAATATCTTTGACCCTCATGACAAATAGATACTAATCTGAGCATTTTTGGTCATTGAGAACTAAATACCTAAATGCCATTGAGGATTGTCAGCTTGTGGTCCTCTATATGGAATTCTGTTAGGAATTCTGATTTGTGGAATTTATTTTAAAGAGGGTGACCATTCAATTATGTATAAAATCTATCAATGCAAAGGGTTAGCTAAAGTTAACAACAGTTACAGTAATACAGGCTCATTCCTCTCAAATGTGAGAGGAATTAAGTTGTTACTGTCAGGCACACATTAATTTGAGCAAATAGAGGATGATAAGATGAAACCAGCAATGGTCAAAGAAGGTAGATTCCCCTGACAGTGTATTTGTACTTAAATAAATTGTACCAAAATCTGAAAGTCCACCAGATGGCACACAATAGCCTTGGTACGGATAAGTGCCATCATCCAAGAGAAGGAGAGGAGCTGCATGCCTGGCTGAAAATTTAATCTGTGTTACACTATGCAGACTCTGCTTTGTTTTGTCAGCAATTAGTAGGTCAATCCCTAATACCTAGGAAATGACTTAAAAAAACATTAAGGGAAAGAAATGAGATAAGACAGCAATTATGTTAATTTCTTTCAGCTACTAATTTGTCTTGATTTGTAGTGACATTCATGATGTAAGGACAGGGAGCAGTTGGAGTGAGTCCAAAGGAGGGTGTCACAAAGATGATCAGAGGGCTGGAGCACCTCTCTGTGAGGACAGACAGAGAGTGGGGGTTGTTCAGGCTGTAGAAGAGAAGACTCCAGGGAGACCTTACAGCACCTTCCAGTACCTAAAGGAGACCTACAAGAGAGCTGAAGAACTTTTACAGGGGTATGGAGTGGTGGGGCAAAGGAGGAATGGCTTCATACTAAAAAGGAGTGAGCTTAGATTAGATATGAGAGAGAAGTTCTTCATGTTAGGGTGATGAGGCACTGAAATGTGGTGCCCACAAAAGTTGTGAATGTCCCTTCCCTGGAAGTGTTCAAGGCCAGATTGGATGGGACTTTGAGCCAATGGAAGGAATCCCTCCCCGCAGCAGGAGGAGCTGGCACTAGACAATGTTTCAGGTCTCTTCCATCCAAACAATTCTTGGGATGGACATATTCAAACAGTTGGGCATTGACTAGATCTGCCTTTGGCTGTCGTTTCTCTAAGTGGGTTATTGCCTGCTGGGAAATGGCTGATATGGCTGGCAATCACTCTTGTGGAGATAAAATATCTTATCTATAGCATATTATAAAAAGAAACTACTGAAATATTATAATATAATATATATACACTATATACTAAAAATGTATAATATATACTTACTGAAATAAATATATTACTGAAAGACATGTGTTCAATTAGCTCCCTGGCCTTATTTCTGCAGAAATAAGGAACTTGCTCTAGATGCCTGGTGCTGACTATGGTGCTCCTCTCCATCTCCACTGGTGCTTGAAGGCATAGTTTCAATAGCAGAGACATCATGACCTGTGGAGCTCTGGCTGTTTGTTGGTCCAATGCTGAAACCCTCCTGTGTGTTTCCAGCCAGTGAGTGAAGTGTGCTCAGATAGTGGATTAAATAATATGGTAACGTGACCTTTCTCATAGAAACAAGAGGTGATGTTGCCACAGAAACAAGGGAGGAAAGCAGCCTGTGCCACTGCAAGCACAGT